CCTTCCGTGGGGTCAAAAGGTTCAGCACTTAGCGTTTAAAAGCCTTCTTCAGAAGAAACATTTTGTTGTCTTTACTTCTCCCCGTCTAGCCACAAAATTGTTCTTAATTGTCTCGCTGTCTGCAGGAGTCGTAACATTTATCCCTTCTTGAGTCGCACTCAGGTAATTCCAGCAATCAGACTGTCTGACCTTGTAGAGAGGCTTGGCTCTGCCTATAAAATTAGGGAATACTGTCTATTTAATTAGTATCAAGGAAATATAAGCTTAAACTCTCAGCCGCTCTCTGTACAAGAATGTTAATTAGTTTTACAATGAAATGGAACTTTTCTTTGTCATTCACTTACCATTGATGCTATTAAGAGAGATGTGATGAAGTCTTTGATTTAGACTGAAATCTCAGAATCCTACTGGTCATAGTGAACATAACCAACAAATGTGTTAGTGCAGACTTTAAAAACTCGTGATTTAAATTGAGGTGCAGTATGTAGCTCTTGGTTATATAGCTATTTTAAGAAGAAATCTGTGATTCGTTGTTATTTTTCATCGTGAATCTTTGGACCCCAGAGATGGGGGTCTATTTATGAGGCAGAAGTGCCTGCTGAGTGATGTCATGTGTCTGAGTGTTCGGTAAATCTGCGCAGTCACCCCTGTCATCTAATGGTGTAAGTGGCAGCTCACTAGTGGGAGGGGGATTTCAGCTTAAGGCGATTTGGGAAAGATTGTTTGTGGCTAATCTGGGCTGATTCAAAGTCTGTTATAACAGGAACCGTACAGGTTTTTTTTTTCTTTCTTTTTCCAGCTTAAACTTACTTACTCTTTGTCTCAACACCAATTTGATAATCCTTTTGATGTCAGACTGCATTGATGAGTCTGTTTAAGGGGTTTAGTGTCGTGGACTTGGAGTCAGGGAGGTTTTTCCAAGAAAATACAAAGCTCTGTTCTGGCCCAGCTGGCCGGATTGTGTAGATGGGCACAGAGGAGCTTGGCTCTGGTTTTGATGCTGAAGGTTTGGCTTGGGGCTGGTTCTCCACACCAGCAAGAGCTTTGCACCATTGTGCCAGGAAGTCACACTCTGCCTCGTGTGCCCACTGAGGGGCATCGTTTGAATGCTCATGGAGCACATGAGTTGTTTTTCCTCTTCTCTTTCTATTTTGGACAATAAATAAATAAATAAATAAAAACTCACAATCTGTCTTTGTGTGAGTGTGGAAAGTCTGAGTTAGGTGAACACAATAGGACTCTTCACTGTAATCGGGTTATCCGGAGTTGAGGAGGTTGTTGATGAACTCAAAACTATGTTTGGCACAGAAACACTGACGCTCAGTTAATATCATCTGTCAGCTCATGGCTATGTGATCTTAAATTCATTCAGCAACATTTAACTTTGCAATGTTTTCATAAACAAACCTAAAAATGTGGATATTGTGGTCTCCTTATCTAAATCTGAATCTCTTGGATTTGTGATGAAACAAAGTAATGAAGAAAAAAAACACCTTTTTGTTAGCTGCATCTGTGTGTTTGTTTAAAACACCAGTATTTCAGGTTGTATTTGTTATATCATGGCTACTCAAATCAGTTCTCACTGAACTTAAAGACAATATGGAGCGACTGTAAGCAACTTTTTGTTCTGCATCACATTAAGCAATAATACTAGTGATGCTGGATATCATCAATTTCCTTTCCGATTTTGAGTAAAACTCAGGCTGGTATCAGCAATACTGATCCGATACTGATACTCTGTGCAAATGCACCTAATATGTCTGGTAAGTTAATGGACTTCAAACTACCGCTTCAGAAATAATACAATACATCAGAGTAACATATTTATTCATTTTAAACTCAGACGTATACTGCGTCCTCATTTGCAGTATAGCCGAGCAAACAGAACAGACAGAGGACACATTCTACAAAATACCTGCAAATTGTGTTTCAAACAATAAAAACATAAGCAAAACAAAACCGTTAAAATCAATTATTGTTTGATTATTGAGAACTGCTATAAAAAGGAAAACTTTCATCGTAATTTATGTTACATGAACATAATATGAAAATACTGAAGAAAGAAATACTTAAGAAATACATGGAACAAGAAAATGTGCTGGAGGACATGAACTAAACACCCTGTTTACAGATTATAGAATAGAATAGAATAGAATAGAATAGATTAGAATAGAATAGAATAGAAACAGCCTTTATTGTCCCACAGAGGGGAAATTTAGGTGTAACAGCAGCAGCAGATACAGTACATCAGTCCACAAAACAATATATTGCTATGTGACATTATCAACAGTAGCAGTAATAATATAATTAAAACACATGATTTAAATGAGATTTCAATAGTTTAATTTGTTTCCACTGTGTTTCTGTTACTGATATGAGATGTACTGTGGGGTCAATGATTTTGTGGCTTAAGCAAGAAAAACAAATTAAATCTATCAAATGCTGATAAATCACTTTATTTAGTTCTTTAAATGATTGTGGCTCAGTTTTTGTAAAAAGGGGATGTGAAGCATGGACGATTTCTTGTTTTTTGTTCTAAAATTTTCAGTTTTTGAACTTTCTTTCTCAACTTTTATTAAGGTGTGATGCTTTGCCTGTGTGTATGTCCACATGTGCATTTGTATGTCTGTTATCAAGATATATTATACTACTGAATGGATTTTGTTGATTTCTCAGATGGATAGCTACAACCGATTATCTATGTTTTATTATTAAAGATGGCCACACCCAACTGATTGTAAAATCATAAAAAGACACAATGGGCCTCATGCAAGAACATGTTCATATTCTTATCCTAAATTTCTCTTACTTTTGTTCGTACAAAGGGTTCGTATGAACATGTCACGTCAGATTCAACAAACTCTTCTATCTTCAGGAAAAGTGTGTAAATAAGCTGCGTAAATTACACCTGTTCTATCCAGCTGCTCGTGCACGCGAGAGGAGATTAGCATAATTATCACCCCAAAAACACCATATAAGGCTATGTTTCCTGCCTCAGATACAAGGAAGTGTCCATTCATGAAAAATGACAGCGAAAACTAAAAAGAAAAACTTTACGAGTTCAGAGATTGAAGTTCGTCTGTCAGAGATCCAGAAAAGAAAATCTGCCACTTTTAGCAGGTCAGCTGTGGAATAAAAAGAGCTGCTATAAGTATAAACAACTGTGTTAAATCATTTTCATTTGTTCACACCGTGGCTTAAAATTATAAGCTGAAAATAACCTGAAAATTATGGATTTATGGCTGGGTGAGTATTGGGGACTAGATTCTTTGGGCTCATGGATTCAGATACACGTCCCCCTAAACTCAACTTACTTCTCTGGCTAATAAAGGTGATCTTGCACTGCAGAGTTTTTTTTTTAAATAAACACCATAGTGTGTCACATTTCGTTAACATATAATGATGTTTTGTTTTGTATTTTTTTCACATCTATCCTTGTGTGGTATTTAGTTTTTCTTTTAAGGGTTGCGCCTCTTTATGATGTCTTCATGATGATGATCCTTGCTCTGCGCAGGGGCCTATGGCTGCATGACCTGGGTCACCTGTTCTCCTATGTTTGTTATGTTCTGTCATCTTGTGAATGGGTGTTCTGAACTGTAATTTCATTGTGCTCTGCACAGTGACAATAAAGGTTTATCTTATCTTATCTTATCTTATCTTATCTTATCTTATCTTATCTTATCTTATCTTATCTTATCTTATCTTATCTTATCTTAATGGCTATAACTCGGTCCGTTTTTACAGATATTAGGTTACAGTTTGGTGTGATAATAACTCAGAGTCAATCTCAACACATGATCAAAACACTACTCATGTCAAACCTTTGTTTACTGTAAAACCTTGACATTAACTATTGAAGTCAACCCTCTTTGCCTGTTAGCCAAATATCTTATGAACCAATGAACCACTTTATAGATTTTAATTAAAGCCATATTCATTTATCATTGCATGTAAACAACTGGTCAGCTCAATTCAAAATGACCTCCACAGCTAAACAACTTTAGCAAACACATAGATTGCAATAACTCATCTAAATTTACATGATTATCTACAACGTGATGTGCTAACATGTGATAATATGTGAGATCACAAATAACATTTTGCTTCCCTTTTATAGTTTTTTATATAATATTTTTAATCTTTGACCTGAAAGTGATATGAATTCCTTTAGGGAATTCTAGGCCTTTAATTAAATCTGTTGAATTTTCCTTTTTCCTTATCTTTCTCCCAATGCAAAAAAAAAAAAAAAAAAAAAAAAAAAATCTGTTCGTATTTATATTCTGCCTCTGTCTCCCTCTTTAAGCTTTCCTCAGTCATGGTGAAGGAATCTAACTCTCAGAGCCAGCTGCACACGTGCGGCTCAGCTGAAAGAACTGAATATGCGGCGTACAGTATATGTTTGTCATTCTGGCTGTGAGACTGCTGCCGAAGGCATTTAACTCAGGCCTTTAAAGAAAAAAAAAAAACACGTTCCAGCATGGTACTAAATACATTTGATTTGTTTCTTTCAGCATGGTTTTTGGTATTCATCTTTGCCTAATAATGACGAGGGGAGGAAAATGGAACTGTTTAAGAAGTTGTATATTTTACAGAGTGCATACTCTGCCCATTAGTAAGTCCAAGTCCATTAGTAAGTTGTTAAAACATCCTCAATTATTTTTTTTTTTGTTTGAGCTGACTAAACTAAAACATTCAAGTTTTAAAGCCCCTCAGTGTCTTGAATCTTTCAGCACAACTGTTTTTCTACATACTCCATTGACACAAGAATTTATGGATGGTTTCTGCCATAAAACTTCGGTGTGCTTCTGTCCAATAATTCAGCCTGTGGATGTAATGTGCCTTTTCAGAGTCTATATGAAATGAATAATGATGATTAAAAAAACATTTGATTTCAAAGTCCCAACATTTTTGATATCTCAAATCTGCACTGAAAATTGATCGTTGGAAACTAATTAGATTTATTTATTTATTATTATTATTATTATTTTTTGTTAAAACAGAGAACTCCGAGAGGCCAGCTGCTTTCGAGGGCAGAGGGAACATGGGAGAGGAGCTGGACTCTCTCAGAGCCACGGTAGATGAGCAACACATTTATGAGAACAACAGCAGCACGTCCCATCAGCGACGCAAGCGCTTCCTCTCCTATCCTCGCTACGTGGAGCTAATGGTCACGGCGGACGCCAAAATGGTGCGACACCACGGGCGCAACCTGGAACACTACATCTTAACAATCATGTCAGTAGTAAGTAAAATAATGTTTCTAAAATTATTTATTGTGCAAGTTTTAGATTAGCGTCATCCTGTTAGTTCTGTAAAGATGTTTCCCCATGACGGTTTCTTAATTGATACGTTGGCTTGTTAGTTTGGGTTCATTAATTTCAATTTCAATATAACTATCTTTGATCGAATTTGGTGATTTTTTTTTGTTGCTTTTAACTTTTCATATGCTAGCACAGCTGAGTAAACTATGGGAACATAAATGAAACTAGCATTCCAATAAGGATTGTGTATCACCTTCAAGGCATAAGTTACACAAGGATCTCACCTTTTACGGTGATGGGTGTTAATTAACCAAAAACTGTTGAAACAAAAACTGTACATTATAAGTTGAAGCCAGAAAGGAACCCTAGGCTCCAAGTCCCACCCTTCCATGTAAACAAGATTTTGCCCTTATTGAAAACTAAAACTGTACCTCAAATAACTTTTTGCATTTGTTGAAATTCAGTCTTACCAATGAACCCCCTTAATTTAATATAAAAACAGATTTTAAATCAACTGTAATTTTTAACTTTATGATTCAATGCAATAAAATAAACACATTTAAAAGGCAAAGGTAAACAGTAATGCTGTTCTTTTATAATGCAGTGTTTCATCTACTATTATTGGGCAGGATGGTGGCCCTTGAGAGTCATTATTGGACACTCCTGTTCTAGTGGCATAATAGTATTGAGCTGCTCAAAGAAATTATTTAACCCTTGACACAAATTTTGCCAGCTTGTCCAAAAACAGAAATAAAATCTTTAAAGAAAAAATGAAAACCTATTTGTCACGTTGTAGATTTGTTTTTATCAAATTAAGGCCAAAAATATTATTCTGTGCTGTAAACTCTGTTGCCTGTGAACAAGTGAAAAAAAAAAAACCCACATACAGTCAAACTTAAAAGACATAACGGTTTTGCCAAATAAAAACATTTTCTTTTAAACAGGAAGTTGCATTGCAAATGTGTGCATATTTGTGCAAAGTAGTGAGCCAAACTGTACTCTGTGTTTAAGTATTTCCTGTGTCAGATTTTGCAGTTTTGACATCTTGGTTGTAAACCTCAGAGTGACCTCAAAGTGTTGCTGCATAAATCAAAACAACCCTGTTAGTAGACTCGGTCCTGCTCAGCATCCTGAGACCTTTATGAGTCCTATCTCCAATGGGAAGCTGTTAATCAGTCTTCTCACACTGTTACCAACTGTGTGTAGAAAACGTGTGTAAAAACCAGGGTGGTTTATCAGTCGGCCTGAACGGTGTGCTCATTCTGCCGTCTGTCTCCCACCAGCATGACTGACAAGCTTGTTGAAAGCATTCATTAACTGAAGGAAGAGTAATGATTGTCAGTACCGTGTTTTTCTTGTGGAAAAAAAAGTGCAGTTAGTGTTAAATGTGTCCGTTTTTAATTCCCAGGTTTTAAAGTCAAAGCAAAAGCTCTGCCATGCCTGTTTCTCTTCAGCAGGTGTTTAAATTTTTTTGGCACGAATAAAAGAACTGTGATACTTTGCACTAGGGTAGTCCTGTCCCTGTTAAAACTCTTGCATTTAAAATTATACTTGAATAAAATTATAGTCTGAGTCTTTAGGTCGGAGTCACATTAGGTACAATTGGTTGACCATCGGGTGTAAGTGTGTCTGCCATTCATGGTGGAGGACGACTCAAATGCAGGATAAGAGCTTTTCCTATGGGCTTAACTCAACCCCACTTGAGTCAACCTGGCGTAGGTGCAGAGGCTTTCCATTGGGTAATCCTACCCTCCTTCATTTCCATTCTTGACCTACTAAGTCTCCATGTCGGCAGACTGCAGGCCATTGAATGGTCAGGGAGTCATGACAGCAACTGCTTCAAAATCATTGTTTTTTAAAATCTGCCATTTTATCCAATTTTTTTGGTAACATAAGTCTTTGTTAGCCTTCTCTGTCTTACTTTTAACCTGCGTAAAACTAGCCATAGATCTAGCACCAGGCACATCTTGGTCCTGCTGTCCTTCATTGTTGGTTGTCGCCCAAAAAATGACGTCAAAGGAGTGTTGAGCAGCTAAAACAATCCTGCCTACATAGAGGCGACACTCAGTTGTATAGAAAAATCACAGAAGCTGTGAAGAATCAAATTAGAATAAAATGGGTGGCGCTTCACTTGACAATCAAAAACAGCCACTGTGCAGCCAATTTTTTTTATTATTAAAATAAAAACAACTTAAAATAAGGGCACTGCAGAGCAGGGTGAACAGAACTAAATAGTTGGGCCAATAAAGGAAATCTTGGGAGTATAAAAACTGAGGATAGTACTTGGAACCAAGTTGCATCTGTGCTGATTAGAACCTGAAGACAGGTGTTAGAAACATGTAACCAAATAAACAAGGAGGAAGTCATTAAAACATCAAAACAGAAGAAAGATGCATTTAAACAACTCTGTGGATAATGAACTGGACAATGGATGAAATGCAGATAGAAGATGTGAACAAAGAAGATAAAGACAGAAAGTCTCTCGCTATTCTTCTGACATTGAAAAATAACACATAGCTAAATATTTTTTAATTTCTTTTTAAAACTCACATTTGTTCAAAAATGCCTTTCAATGAAATAAAGGAAGACTCAAATACTAAAAGGCTGAACTTTTTTATCTTATCTTGATGAAAATATGCTTTATATTTCTTTAGGTAAAAACATTGAATGGAAACATCCCATGTACCTACAGCTTTGTCTTGTTCTTTTTGGATTTGTCTTTAGTTAATACAGTATCAGCTACTCCAAGCTGGCGTGAGGATAGATACAGACCAAGGTCCTGTATGTCACAGTTAGACATAGTGTTTGCAAAGGCAAGTTGGGTTTGGGGTCATGTTTGCCCTGCTTTAGGCTAGGACAAGGTAAATGTTTAAAGCGGACTAACGAGTTCCTGTCATGAGACTGGATAGAGTCTTGGGAAACTGGAGGCCAACTGTGACAGTGGTGCTCAAGGAAGTGCCAGTGACAAGTTTTTGTAAAAAAAATGAATGCATATTTGAAAAGATAGCATTGAAATCATATTGAAAAAAGATTTTTACATCACTGAGATGAACAGTTGTTGAGCTATTCACATGTGAAGTAACAGGAAGTGATGACAAAGGGGAATGTCTGCATGTGAACAGAGAATTGTTACAAAAAATGACAGCCCAGTCTGTAGAGAAGAATCTGATGTTTCTTTCGATTATTATAAGTCACTAGAGAGAAAAGAAGAGTCAGAGTTCTAATAATATTGTTTCAATAAACAAGGACGAGGGAGTTCCTTGTCTTGAAGAGTTCTCCTTTGATGTCACTTCCTGTTTCACTTTGGCTGAGCCAAGTTCAAAGGAAAATGTGCCAGTAATGTCACAAAATGGGTAAAACCATGTGAAATATGCCAAATTTCTTAAACATAAAGATGTTTTCTTTGAGTTTTTTAATTAAAGGATGTACCTGTCACAGGCACTTTAAGCTTCGGCTTTGCTCATTGTTCACATTTATTGATTGGTTTATAATTCTTAGTCAAAACGTATGTGTGAACGCAATGTTCCACTTCAAGTTTGATTAAATATAGAAAAATCTCCTAGTTTTCTTACGGTTTAAGAAAAAGGTGTTTATTTTACAACAGTTTTATTTTTGGCAAAGCTTAGTGAAGGTTTGCATTTGTTTTTTGTCCGTGTGTTTTGTCTTTGTTACAGGTAGCAGCAGTGTACAAGGACCCCAGCGTAGGGAATCTCATTAACATCATGATCGTCAAGCTAGTCATTGTCCACAACGAACAGGTGAGCATGGGGGTCCTGAATGCTTCGTGTATGCAGGTCTTCAGCGCGGCTGACGTCATCACAGGTGTCCCTGGCTTGGTCTTTTGTCCGCGGGGCCTGTTTGAAATTACACTGCATTTCTTGTCAGTCTCAAATCTCACGAGGTCTCCTTGAAGAACAAATGAGACCGTTGTGAAGCACCTGCAAGTGAGATGTTGCTGCAAGGGATGCACTGTGTGTTCTTTAGTCCCTAAAAAATGTTTCTTCCCATCAATTTAATTTTGATCTTCTTGAGCATTTTCTTCATAACCTCAGTTATGAAGAGCTGATTTGTGAAAGATTAACAAAAACTGGATGACATCACCGGTATCTGCTTTAGAACTGATTAAAATGAATGAAATTGTTCGTTAATCAGCCCACTATAAGAGAAAAAAGTAATTTGTAGATTATTGCTTTACAAAACTGACCAATATTGAAACCAAAAACAGGAAGGACCCACTGTGAGCTTCAATGCTGCCACCACTCTGTACAACTTCTGCGTCTGGCAGCAGAGCCAAAATGTCGAGGATGACAGCCATCCATCCCACCATGACACTGCACTCCTCATTACCAGGTACACACACACACACATTTATCATCAGCCAGCGTTTTGGATGGAAATCCAATTTGTTCAAACAAACAGACATGTAAATGTTTTCTTTTTTCTTATTTCTTTTTCCTCAGGGAAGACATATGTGGTGCAAAAGACAAATGTGACACTTTAGGTAAACCTTTGCCATTTTTTTCCCTTCCCCAAAAAATACCTCCCTTTTCTAATTCCTTTGAATGAAGTTTCCACTTGACTGGCCTCAGCTCATAAACTATTTAGTAATGAGTTTATGCCATGCTGTCAACTAACAATATGACGGAAAATGAAGTGGCTGAAATGAGAGGAAGGTTGATGACTGCCCGGGGTATTTTTTTTCTAAACAAACACCAGTTTTGATCGCTTAATGGCTTTATTTTTTTTATTGTTTCGCTTGTGTGTTTGTAGGACTTGCAGAGCTTGGGACCATGTGCGACCCGTTCCGCAGCTGCTCCATCAGTGAAGAAAATGGAATCAGTGCCTCCTTCACCATCGCTCATGAACTGGGCCATGTGTAAGTTGCAGCACACAGCCTGCTCACAACCCCTTTCACCTCTGAAACACACACGCACACACACGCACACACACACACACAATCCATCTCACCCATTGCAGCCAGCCTTGACAACAAAAGCCCTCTTATAAAGAAATGCAGGCTGCAGCAGCCACAGGTGCAAAACATAATAAAGTAAAAAAAAAATCTAAAGAAAAAAAACCCTGACTTTTAATAACGCTGAAGCCCATAATACCTTCCTATACAGCTTAGGAGTCAGTCATGTGAGATTTACCTTGACAATGACAAGCTTAGGTGAAATTTAGCTTGACTTTAGTGGAAAAATAAGTCTTAATACAAATCCCTGTTTTTCCGTTGCTTTTATTTTCTACTAAAGTAATATGAGCAATTTTAAAACATGTAAGTACAGTAAAAAAAAAAAAAAACTATGCTTTGAGCTTTATACCATATTATGTCAGGCCCTCATCAAAAAACACACCCAGAATGTTGATTTGATTCATTCATGCAGGTTTGAGACATCCTTGAATCTCCTGCAGTAGTCATTCGAAGATGCCTAAATGCTTGCTGGTACAAAGCACCGCCTATTTACACAAAGCCCCTCCCTGGAGCTCAGGCCCCAGCCGAGGTCCCGCCCCATACGTCACCCCTCCCTCGCCCTTTCCTCTACGCAGCTACACCAGACTGGTAAAAATGGCATGAGCCATTGTTGTGATGACATGCTGAAGTGGAAATGTCAGAAATGGTTGGAGGTTCTTAAAGAGACAGACAATTTTAAAGCATTTAGATAGGCCATGATGTGAAGTCAAATTTATTTTTGATATATACAGCATAAAGGTAACATAGTTACTTTATTGTGGTAGGGTGGTCAGTTATATCCCAACAGTTTTCTGCACAGCATCGTCAATGACAGCTAAAACCAGCTCAGAATGTCACAGCACCTTCAGGTTTACGGTGGCTTACAGCACCCAAACTGACTGTCTGGCAGCCATGTTGTTTTCTCGTCTCGCAAACCTTGACACATGTTTCAAGTGAGACAAAGACCTGTATGCAAAACCTGTCTCAGAATGTCCAAGTTTGAAAACATGACTTTACCTCTCATATGAAGGGCTGTTTATTCCAAACATAAAGAAAAACTACAGAAAATCACTCAATTACGCCCAGTTATTTTGATTTCAAGTGCTTTAAAAAAGGTGCAATCTGAGAACCATTGTTATCTGATAGCGTCTTGGATTTGAAGATTAAAGCAACTTTGCTTTATTTCTCCCGGCTCACTCACGTTGCAGAGTTTAAACGACAGTAAATGAGAGATTTTCAGCGGACACTGAAAAGGACCAGTGTCTGCGTTCATCTGTGAGCCACTGTTTAAGAATGGAAGATATTCTTCTCCCTCCTCTGTCACGCTCACACATTCTTCCAGTGGAGTGATCGGAGCAGAGCAGCAGCAGATGGACCGGCCGTGCGCCCTCTCTCCCCTCTCTCCCCTCGCATCTCATGTGGATCTGTTTATTCTAAAGTTCAAGAAGTTGGAGGCCCAGTTGGCTCTGAGTCCTGCCGTGGTTGATTGCAGCATTTAGACGTGAGCCCTCTGCAGTGTTTAGCACTTTGGGAAGGCCAGTGTGAGTTGTACGTAGGAAACACTCAAGAGTGGAAAGATTTAGACTAATGAAGGGGAGGTCTTTCTCAGATGAAAACAAGATTGTGTGACCACTAATGATCATCATGGGGATTTTTACTGGCAAAGGGCTTTCATTTAAGAGTTGTTTAAAAGTGACATACATAAAATTTGTCGTTTTTCAAGCATTTAGTTCTGTTATTGGAATAAATAGCTGCACAAAGGTTTTTTTTTTATAAAAGCATATAAATGGTGTGAAAATGATACTACTGACATTTACTGGAAGGATGACCACAAGAGTATGGTTGGTTGAAATTATTGTGATTGTCAATGTTAAGCACCCATGGTGACAGGTGGTAGGGGTTCGTCCTGTAGCCATTGGGTTGCTGGTTCCCCCCGCCCAACCCCAACCC